ATCAAAAACTTGTACCACATACTCAGTTTAAATGATTTTTTAAAGAAAATAAAAGAAAGAAGACATACATTTCCCATGTAATTTTATATGCAGGTTATCTGCCTAATAGTGAAGTTAGTTTGCAAAGAAAATAATTAGAGGTGAATGTACAAGCCAAGACTCGAAGTCACCCTGAGCAGCCCAAGGTCATGAGCTGATTTCATTTGCCCTTTCCCTGGGGAATCATTGCTTGGCCCATTGCCTTGCTATTATTCTGTAGCACAGCAGAAGCCCCCACCATCCCTTGCTTAGTGCCAGAGTTTAAACCAGCTGTGGGGTCTGAGAGGTTTGCGTTTATTGGATTTTAATGACTCGACTAACGGGGATCATTACTAAAAGTAACAAGAAACCAAGACTGTGGAAAAGTAGCGATCGAACTGACAGGTTATTTCTAGCAGTTCCTTGGTATTGCCCTTAGATATACAACTAATTCTTTAAAGTGATTAATAAGGATCCTTCCTCTTAATCAATTTACTAATGCTACATAAAACCACTCAGTAGCGGGAGCAGTAGTGTATACACCAGGCTTCAAATGAGCTCCATAATCCCGGCCTAACAACTGGATGTTGTTATTACTCCATTAATGGTTTGATGAAATTATTTATAGTTAGCACTGGCTAGTATCATACCCATCATGCTTCTGTGACCTCTGAAAGAATCAACTATTTCCTGTCTTCAGTGAGATCTGGTTGGATACAAATATCGACAGTAAAAGGGACCATAGAGATTAGACCAGTCCTTTTAAACATTAACTGACCATGGTTCACACTTATCCAAAATGGTGTTTATTAGATTGTGAAAGATTTCCTAAGGTGGTAATTTTTGAATTATTTAAAATTAATACAAATACATTTTAGTATGTTTGAAAGGCATGGTTATATTTTGTAAGCAACTTGGTGTGTATTTTCTACTTTGTATCTAATGGGATAGAGAGCAAACATTAAGTCGTGGGTATAATAACTATATTAGTCTGTGGTCCCAGGACTTGGAGGCAGAAGTAGGTAGATCTTTGTGAGTTTAAGGCCAACCTGGTCTACTTATTGACTTCCCAACAAGCCAGGACTACACAGCGAGACCCTGTCTCAGATTGTAAAAGTACTCTTTCAAAGTGTCTATGTATGGTGTGTGAGTGTGTGTATTTGTATGTGTGGATGCATGTATGTGCCCATGGATGCCCAAGGTTGATGCTGGAAATTTTCGATTATTTTTCTCCCTTACCCATTGAGGCAGGGGTTCCCAATCAAATCTAGAGCTTGCTGAAATAGCTAGTCATCTTACTGTGGGGACTCATGTCACTGCCTTCTCAGGCTGGGATTACAGGCCAACTGCCATTCCACCTAGCATTTATGTGGGTTCTGAGGATTGGAATTCAGGTCCTCAGGCTTGCAAGGCAAGCATTTTAACTGCCAAGATACCTCCCCAGCCCTGGATGTAATAAAATGTCTATTTAGCTTTCAAAGCCTTCCTGAGCTTGTTCCTGTTGAGTTCTTCATGTTCATCTGTTTTCTCCCAGCCCAGACAACTTTTTCTCTTCTTGTTGACTATATCTTTTTAAAATTATTTTTTATTTAAATTAAAAACAATCTTATTTTAGATATCAATCCCAGTTCTTTCTCCCTCCCGTCCCTCCATTCCCCCCCCCCCCGAATCAATCCCCTATCCCACCCCCCATCCATTCCTCAGGGAGGGTGAGGCCTCCCATGGGGGATCTTCAAAGTCTGTCCCATCTTTTGGGGCAGGACGTAGGCACTCCTCCATGTATCTAGGCTGAGAGAGTATCCCTCCATAGGGAATGGGCTCCCAAAGCCTATTCTTGCACTAGGGATAAATACTCGTTCCACTGCTGCCCAGGTCCCCCAACTGACACCCACATTCAGGGGACCTGATTTAGTCCTATGCTGGTTTACCAGCTATTGTTAACTATATCTTAATTAATCTTTTTGCTCTGCTCCTGAGCCTTTCTTCCCCAAGTTTAGGGCCTATGTACTAGGAAAATCTCCATGGGAACCACCTCTCCTTATTAACCAGATTATTGTGCAAGCCAGCTACTTCATACTTTCTCTTGGAAACTTCTGTGTATCTTTCCTTCCCCAGTTTCAGACCCTGGAAGGTTTCAGTAGTTCCCGAGTGGGTTCCCAGGATGATGCAACTCTTAGATGACCCAAACAGATACTGTACTGTGTATGTAAGCCCCAGTTCCCACACAGGGCTGTGACACAGTAAGAATCGGGAAAGAGAACAGATAAAAGCACAGAGTACTGAAGATTTTGAAGTCTGCAGTGTACACCTTTAACCAGTAACACAAACTTACAGAAATAAAGATGCTGTATTTAGAAGATATTTCACAGCTAAGGGTGTAGCTAAGTTGGCAGAGGGCTTGTCTATAAACCACCAAATCAATACTCCATCATAGCACCACATGGGGGTGGCTAAGACCTATAACCACTGCATTCTGAGGGATCAGAAGATCAAGGTTATCTTTGGTTACCTAGTGAATCTAAGACCAGCCTGGGATACATGAGACCCACACACATGCATACACACACACACACACACACAGACATACTGACAGACACACATGGATACATAGATACTCAGACACACACACATACACACACACCACAGAGAGGGGGGGAGGGAGGGAGGGAGGGAGGGAGGGAGAGAGAGAGAGAGAGAGAGAGAGAGAGAGAGAGAGAGAGAGAGAGAGAGAGAGAGAGAGAGAGAGAGAGAGAGAGAGAGAGAAAAGCACATCATTTAGATCATTTCTCTCTGGAAAGACCACACACAGCCTGACATCAATTTAATATGAGACTAATACTTCTAGCATTGCTGTATGTTCATTATTTTTCCAACAGGCTTGATAAACTGTACAATCCACTGAGTTTTAAACACAAATGATAGCTACTGTATAAAAATCTTTCCAATCCAAGCAACTATAACTCCCAACTTGTAGGCTTTCTGTTCAGCAAGTAAGTTAAAAGAAAGGAGAGATGGCCTTGTTATTAAGAAATGATCTTTTCTTTCTTTCTTTTTTTTCAGACAGGGTTTCTCTGTATTGTTTTGGAGGCTGTCCTGGAACTTGCTCTGTAGACAAGGCTGGCCTCGAACTCATAGAGATCAGCCTCTGCCTCCCGAGTGCTGGGACTAAAGGCATGCGGCACCAACACCCAGCTAGAAATGATCTTTTTCAAATGCCAGAATCAACCCCAGGAACATGGATTTGGTCTAAATATTTTATTTTTGAAATTATGCAAAAAAGACAACTTGATTTATTTTTAGTATCAAGCAGAATCCTATAAAGATTTAAGTTCTTTCAAGTGTCCGGGTCAAACAGTGTGTTTGTTTTAAGAACAAAGGAGGCAATAAAACAGTTTGGGTGGGGAGGAGGAAAGGAGCACCTAGGACAAAGTCCCTGGAAAGGTTGGAAAAAAACAACCAACAGGCAGGTGAGTTCCAGCACCTCTCAGTTCTAGCAACTGTAAACCACACACCCTTGGCCATATATCAAATACAACATTGTAGTCCATCATGATAGCCCACACCTTTGACTTCATAAACAGAGGCAGGTGGACCTGTGAATTTGAGGCAAGACTGGTCTACATAGTAAGTTTCAAGCTAGCCAAAGAGATATGGCAAGACCCTGTTTCAAACAAAACAAAATGGAAAAAAATTGTAACTCCAGCACTTTAAGAATGCTGAGGCAGAAGCTAGGCATTGGTGGTGTATGCCTTTAATCCCAGCACTCAGGAGGCAGAGGTAGGGGAATCTCAGTGAGTTCGAGATCAGACTGGTCTACAGGAGCAGAGCGAGTTCCAGGATAGCCTCCAAAACAATACAGAGAAACCCTGTCTGGAAAAAACCAAAACCAAAAAACAAACAAATTAAAAAACAGAATTCTGAGGCATGAAGATTGCCACCAGTTCAGGAGGTTGGTTCAAGAAGCCTGCCATGCCAGGCATTGGTGGCGCACGCCTTTAGTCCCAGCACTCGGGAGGCAGAGGCAGATGGATCTCTGTGACTTCCAGGCCAGCCTGGTCTACAGAGCGAGTTCCAGGATAGCCTCAAAAACAATACAGAGAAACCCTGTCTCGAAAAACCAAAACCAAAAAAAAAAAAAAAAAAAGCCTGCCATGAATTCAAGGTCAGCCTGGCTGCATGAGACAAACAAGACTTGGAATATTAAAAAAAAAAAAAAGCAAGCAAACAGGGCTGGGGAGATAACTCCATGCATACAATGCTTGCATAAAGTGTGAGGACTGAGTTTAGTGCCTAGAACCTGTATAAAAAGTCAAGTGTGGTGGTGTGATTTGTAATTCCAGCCCTAAGGAGCTGGAGACAGAAACACCTCTGGGTTTGTCTAGCATAGTTGATTAGAGCTCTAGACCAGTGAGACACCCTGTCTCAGAAACCAAGGTAGGAGCCTAAAGAGATAGTTTAGCTATCATGAACACTGACTGCTCTTCCCAGGTACCCCCATTTAATTCCCAGCATCCACATGGCTGCTCACAACCAGCTGTAACTCAGTTCTAGGAGATCTGGTTCCCTCTTCTGGCCTCTATAGGCAAAAGACACGTAAGTAATGCACAGACAGACATACGCGTAGGCAAAACACCTGTACACATTTGAATAAAATTTAAAACCCAAGGTGTATGTCACTTAAGAAATGACACCTGAGCTTGCCCTCTGGCCTCCACACCTACTTGCACGTGCAGCTAGCTATATGGCACCTGCACACATGCGCACAAAAGCATACATGCACAAGCACACAGACAAGCAACAAAGTACAGGGAAATTTAAAAAACAGAAATGATGAACGTTTGTTATGTATCTTATGCTGGGCGGACGCACATGAGTTATATAGAACCCAAACTTTTGGAGTAAGGGCAAGGAGAGGCAAGACCGCATAAATACAAGGTCCGGGCTCCTAGCAGATTCATTAAGATTCAGAAAGCACTATTCACCATTAGTGAGCCCTCTACTCGTGAGGGCGTCAGCAGTGCGCTGTGGTATCTGCCGATCGACAAGCCCTGGTTCGAGACCCGGCCCGGCGGGCTTGGCCTCTGACCGCATCCCAGGCCCCAGCCCGCCGCTTACTGTGGGGCTCCATGGTCAGCTGCTCCCGGGGCCCCTGGGGCCGAGCCCTGGTGGCGCCGCCCTCCTAACGCCTGTCCTCCGTGGCGGGCGTCGCTGGGGTTGCCCTGACAACCGCGGACGGGCCGGGCGGGGCCCGGCGGACGGCGAGAGGGAGGGACCAAAAAGTGACGTGGAACGCGGAGCTGCGCACGGGCGGGAGTGGCGTAGGGGATCGGGGCTGGGGACCTCGGCTGCTCCGACGGAGCCGCGCCCCGAGCTCGGGAAGCCTCTGTCGGCTTCTGTCGGGACCACGCGAGCGTCGGCCGAGCTCGGGAAGCTACCGCCCTGGCTCCGTTCGGCCTCGGTGGCCGCTGCTGCAGGTAACGGCAGGGCAGGCGGCGGGGGATCTGGGAGGCCGCGCACCTGTTGCAGCCCCGCCCGACCCGGCACAGCTGAGGTCTGTGGGCGCCCCTGCTCGGGAAGGAGGACCGCAGCTCTGGGCTGAGCTCTTCTGGACCCAAGAGGGTCTGGGACCGGATGCCCCCGAGACGCCCGAGTGAGAGTCAGAATAGAACCTGCTCCAGCTGGAGGACCAGTCATTGCACCGCAGTAACCCCAACTAGAGTTGGGGCTTCCCCTGCACCTGGCGTCGGCCCAGGTCGGGGTCCAGATGACCCCAAGTCGCCCGGGTGAGAGTCAGGAGAGACCCTGCTCCTGCTGGAGGACACGGCCATTGCTGGGCTGTATCCTCTCTCCAGGCTGAGGGTCCATTGCGCCAGGATGTTACCCCAGGTCATGGCCCAGAGATACACCCGGTGAGGACGTCCGCCTGTTTGGGGTGGGGAGTGGGTGGCAGAGAACCAGGCCTTTGCGTGGCGGTTCCCTTCCAGGATGGGTTTCCCTGCACCAGGATGTCGCCCCAGGTGAAGGCCAAGATGCCCCTAAGACTCGTGGGTTTGGGTGGGTTTCCTCGACCTGGAGGACTACTCTCCCTTTGCACCGCATGTTCTAGAGGGGGTGTCCGACCGCACTGGCCTAGGTGAGAGTGGGCCTGTTTGAATGTAAAAGCAGCTCCTGCCTCGGTAGTAGGCCAAGCCTGTCTCCTGAAACCCCGGGCAGTTCCTAGTCCTGCTCTGTCATCCCTACTGTCGTCTGTCACATTTCAGGCCATGGATCTTGGGTGGAATCTTGCTGACTCTGTGTGTGTGTGTGTAAATACTCCTGGTTGTTTGGTTTTTTTAATGGGGGGGGGTCACTGAATCAGCCAAACTGTTCAGGACACTGGTTTCAAAGAGTCTGATCCAAGTTTTGCTTTAAGAAAGGTGTTAAAATCACCACGGAGTTTTATCCCGTATGCTGTAAAATTTTCAAACCATCCCAAAGAGTGTCACTGGTTTAAGAGGGGGAAAAAAAAAGCTGGAAGGAAGAAAAATGGAGAAGAGATAAGGAAGGGAATGAGAAAGTACAGAGGGACAGGGGGAGATTGTAGGATTGATTTAGCATTCAGGTCTGGAGATTAAAGCCCCTCCATCAATTCCTACCACTCCCATAGACAGTGCTAGAGGAAAATGGAAGGCCCAGCCCTGTTGGGGTCATGTAAATAATTACTCATCTTCACCAGAGGAGAAATTCCTACTCTGGGTGTCAAGGACACAGGGGAGAATTACTTTCCCCTAAGGGAATCATTCAAAGCTTCATTGGACCCTAGAAGTATCTACTCTGTAATGGAGTTGGGCATTTATTATAGTCTGCCCATTTAGACTCCTCCCTCTGGCTCTGTGCGGGTGATGGTCAAAGTAAGGAGGCTTCTGTGTGGGTGTTGACAAGCACTGTGATTTTTGCAGAACTCGTACTTCCTAAGCTAAAGTACCAAGCTGAGAAATTCAGGTTGGAAGTAAATGTATCATGAGATATTTCCCATAATGTTCCTACAACTTAGAGAAGGGGAAGACAGGGTAAGATAATGGGTGCTTCTGTACACAGTGTTTCCCAAACTCCGGTTCTCATAAACAAAATCAGGATGAGGCTTTCTCTTCCAAGACACCGTTATGTCAGCAGTGCAACAGCAAATGTTCCAAACAAACCTGGCAGTACTGACACACAAAAGAGGTAAAGTTAAACTGTCCAAAACAGTAGGCTGGATATTGAGGGAGGAGGACACTTTTTTTAAAAGAAGAGTGACAGACCTCCATGCTAAGGTAATGAAGACTATGTGTAGTGATTGCATGTGGATTTTAAAAATGGAAATAGGGGCCGGGCGTTGGTGGCGCACGCCATTAATCCCAGCACTTGGGAGGCAGAGGCAGGCGGATCTCTGTGAGTTCGAGACCAGCCTGGTCTACAGGGTGAGTTCCAGGACAGCCTCCAAAACAATACAGAGAAACCCTGTCTCGAAAAACCAAAAAAAAAAAAAATGTAAATAGGAATTGATGGCATACCTTGTAGTAGTTTACTAGAGACCTGCTCCTTGAAGTGGGCATTGAGGAAGTCTCACTCAGTACATGAAGTCTCACTCAGTACATAAAGGCAGCTAGCTGTGAAAGCAAGATTTTAGGGGGTGTCATGCCTATGAAAGAAACAACTGGCTGGGAGATGAAAGTGGGGAGGGACAGTATTCATCATTTCCTCTCTAGTGTCTAGCACAGTGCACTTGCTCAGTGGATGAGAAGAACTTCTATGTAGGGATGTGTTTTACCATCAGAGAAGATGATCATGGCCATAAATTGTTAATGGGTAAGGGCTTGGAAATGAATGATACAATTTTTTTTTGTCACTTTGGGTTTTTTCTACTATTATGTCTATTTCCTTTGACTGCTATGCTCAGTGTGATATTGGTGGTCAAAGGAAAAACAAAAAAGCATGCTGTAGCCGGGCGTTGGTGGCGCACGCCTTTAATACCAGCACTTGGGAGGCAGAGGCAGGCGGATCTCTGTGAGTTTGAGGCCAGCCTGGTCTACAGAGTGAGTTCCAGGACAGCCTCCAAAGCCACAGAGAAACCCTGTCTTGAAAAAACCAAAAAAAAAAAAAAAAAAAAAAGCATGCTGTAGGAGGTTTTACTTTGTTTTCAAGTTTCTTTGTGCACAGAACAGTGACATCACTGCTTAGCTGATATGTAACTCAAGATAGCAAATCAAAGCTGCCTTAGCATGGGGTAACCAGGTAGCCAGGAAGACAATAAAAAGTGCAGTCGTTTCTTTTTCTTAGATCTCTTGGCCACTCTCAGAATGAAAAGTAAAGACATCTCAGGTAGAGGTTAACTTGATTTAGCAAAATAGGGCAGCCAAAATTATTACACTTGAGCATGTGGGGTCTGTCTCCTTTCCCCCACTATCATAACTGGGAGAACAGTTTTATTTTTGCTTTTTTGTTAGCATGGTTTGGGGCTTTCTTTCTCTCTGCTACTTTGTGAATTCATTAAGGAGCTCAGTCAAAGGTAAAATACAACCTGATTTCCATATCTGCTTTTGTATTGTCCCCAAACCTGCTACAAACTACACTCAAACTATCTGACTCTACTGCCTGCCTGCCACTCTGCTCCTTTCCTGACTGTGCTTCATGATCTGGTTGTTTTCTCCATTTCCAGCACATCTTCTGGGAGGAGGCTCAAGCCCACAAATGAACTTCTCACCCACTGGAGGGACTCTACAGTAGAGCACTTAGCTCCAAAACTGCACTTCCTTCTAATAGTTATCTCTTTTTGTTTTTGGATCGTGAACCTCTGATTGGGGTTTTCTGTTATATAAATCCATAGCACGCTGTTTCTGTAGTTCTTTAGTACAGAGCGGGCTCTGGTTGTATCTGATGTCTTGAATGGGATGATAGCAGAAAACAGCTTCTAGTCTTTTTATTGGTCCTTATTTCTAGGTGTACTACCTCCCTGAGAAAGCTGGGAGCTGCTGTTTGCTCATTATTAGATAGCAGTTTGTCTAATAGTTTAATGAGAATCAGAATAAATTATGTTTAATTGTAGGGACAGGGGTTATAAACCAGTTGGTAGAATACTTGGTGTGAACTAAGCCTTGTCTTCAGTTCCCACCCAGTATAAACTAAATGTGATGTCCCACAACTATAATCTCAGCGCTGGTAAGGCAGAGGAAGAGGATCAGAAGTTCAAAGCCATTCTTGGTGACATGGTGAGTTCAAGGCCAGCCTAGGCTACATGCGACCTGTTTCAAATAATAATAGTGAAGTGTTTTTTTTGTTTTTGTTTTGTTTTGTTTTTTTTTTTTTTTTTTGGTTTTTCGAGACAGGGTTTCCCTGTGGCTTTGGAGGCTGTCCTGGAACTAGCTCTATAGACCAGGCTGGTCTCGAACTCACAGTGATCCGCCTGCCTCTGCCTCCCGAGTGCTGGGATTAAAGGCGTGCGCCACCAACACCCGGCAGTGAAGTGTTAATAGATATGGATACTTATATCTTCCATGTTGCCCCCCCCAAAAAAAACAGGGTTTCTCTTGGCTTCCTGGAACTCGCTTTGTAGGTCAGGCTGGCCTTAAACTCACAGAGATCTGTTGTGGAATATAAGTTTAAGTTGTGTTACATTTGTTTATGCTATGGGCTATCTGTTTAATGAGGCAAAGATATGTTGCATTTGTTTAACTGTAAAGCTGTGCTATTTTGCCTGCCCAAAACACCTGATTGGTCTAATAGAGAGCTGAACAGCCAATAATTAGGTAGGAGAGAGAAATAGGTGGGGCTGGCATGCAGGGAGAATAAATAGGAGAAATCTAGAGAAGATCGAGGAGTGAGAGCAGGAGGAGAGGAGGATGCCAGGGGCCAGCCATCCAACCACACAGCCAGCTGTGGAGTAAGAAGGAAAGAAAGAGTTATAGAAGAAAGAAAGTAAAAAGAATCCAGAGGCAAAACATAGTTAAAGAGAAATGGGATAATTTAAGCTAGAAAAATTGGCTAGAAACAAGACAAGCTGAGGCCAGGCATTCATAATAAGAATAAATCTCTGTGTATGTATTTTCAAACTGGGTGGTGGGCCTCCAAAGAGTAAAAAACAAAACAAAACA